TCTGCCGCCACCGCGCCGGACCACACCCCATAGCACTTACAGCACTCAGGCATACTCTCATCTTCCTCCCTGTCCTTCTCGCACCCCAGACACCGGCCCGCGCATACCGCCTACAAGCCAATCAAATTATGTTGCTTTACCTGAACAGCACGGGCACTTTAATTCGCATTACCCTTCTCAACCGGACACACATCCTAGGATGAATGGCAGTCAGCAATATGCACCTGCATCCTATGATAACCGGTCCCATAAAAATGGGTCGACTTCTCCTTATAACAAACCTCTCAACTTTAATGATGGTCTTCTCGAAGACGACGTCAATCCCGAAGCGTATGCCGGCACGAATAGTATGATAAGTCAGGCAGAGGGTGTGAATTGGAACTCGTCGTCACCGTTTGAATTGTCCCATGAATTAGCCGCTCCCATTCCACCTGTCTCAACCTCCTCGCCTCCGCCTTCCTCTGCACACCACTCGAATCTTCGTAATGTAAACAATGCAAATGGACTAACGTCTCCTAACGTCGCCTCTACGCAAACATTGTCAACAGATAAAGATCACCGTGATGAAACGAATGGGTTTCATGCCCCTCATTGGCAAGGAGAGCATTTCAATGCGATGAATAGAACTTCATCTCCATTTGACAACACAAAACATCCTCCTGTCGTAGCACAGTCCACTACCGCCGATCCATATCATCCCGGTAGCATGAATTCATCTTCGTCTCCTGCTGTTCACGGTTTCCCCGTTGTATCAGGAGGAGCCCCATCCTTCAGCCCCTACCTACCTCAGACATCTGCTGGTTTACCTCGAACATCCTCCCCTGCTATTATCAACCCGTCTGGGGAGAAGCCACCTTTTGTTGACCTTTACCGTCCGAAGTCTTCCACCAGCGTCGCAAGAGCATCATCGCCTAACGTCAATCTTTTATCCACTCGGACTCCGCCCCCTGCCGACATCTACATCCCTAAAAATCATTCCTCTGCTGGTTATGATAGCGCGTACTCCTCCGGTCATGCTTTCAAGCCTCCTCCGCCGAGCCAAATCTATCTTGCGACGGCTAAACAACAACAACCGCCGCCGCCTTCTTTTCCCCGCGGGGAGCCATTGAGGAGTCGCTCAATGTCCAACGGTTCTGCTTTATCATCATCATCCGCTGACACAGAAGATCCATACGCCCCCATCCGTCATACTCGTGCGCAAACGAGCGAAACAGATTATGGTTCTGCAATTTCTCGTTACGACTATCCAAATCATGAAATGCCTCAAAACCTGGGCGCACCAGAGATAAAACCCCCAACGCATACGCCATACGCACCTTCACCGTCTCTGATGGGAACGAATGACCCGCTAGGTCGTTCGTCAGCTCGAATGCCCGTATTCAGTTTTGGTTTCGGTGGCAAGGTAGTCAGTTGCTTCCATGGGGCAGCGACGCTTAACACTGGATTTGATGTGGCTCTTTCCTCGCGAAATTCTACGGCTGTTGAAATCCGACTTCTCAACAAAATTATTCCTGAATCAGCTTTGGACACATCCGTAACCTTTCCAGGACCTCTGTTCTCGGATCCTGGCAGTCCTACTACAGGGTTAGTGCGGACAGGCGCTTCAAACCAAACGAAGACCCGAAAAGCCAAAATCATCAAGTATCTGACGGATCGAGCCGAGGAGATGAATCAGGGGATTGGGTATCTTCATGCGAATAGTCCTGAAAGACGACAAGCAGACGGAAAGCTTGTACTTGTGAAGTTATTGAAGGTCATGGTTGAGAATGACGGTCGGATTTCAGGCTCGTAAGTAGTACACTACAGTAACTTTACGAGTGGCACTCATACAGTTTGTAGGCCACAAATCGACGCTACTGTGCGCTCCGCATTGGTATCTCAACTGTATCAAACTATCAGCGAATCCACGTCTGATTCGACCGTCACTTCAGGGTTCACGCCAGCATTAGAGTCTACAGCCGCCGCTTCATACACTAGTGTGTCTGTAGCACCAGTGCGCAACGAAGAAACCATCTCCACGACGACTCTTCGTTCCTCAGCGTTGAATAAGATACAAGACTTTCTTCTTCACGGAGAACGGAAAAAAGCATATCATTACGCCTTGGATGAGAAACTATGGGCACATGCTATGGTTATTGCCAGTGGGATAGACAAGGACGCATGGGAAGAAGTTGTCAATGAGTTCCTCAGGACCGAACTAGGTGTGAAAGAAGATCCGTCTCGGAATAGTTTACAAGTCCGTGGCAGTGAGGCTCTGCTGCCGTCTGTCAATGGATGGGAAGGTTTGCGAGCTGCATATAGGCTGTACTCTGGGCAAGGTGCTTCGTCTGGTAAGTTAATTGGATTGATGTTACGCCATTAATACTAATGATTTAGCAGTCCAGGAGATGATACCCCAAAACTTGCTCTCGAGAGCAACAGGACATGTGTCACTACCCGTACCGGCGCTGCCTCAAATGACGCCCATGACACCTAACTTTACAGTTCCACAAGTGGCCGCCGGTAGTATTCCCACCGATTGTCTCTCAAAGTGGGCTGAGACGGTCAGCATGATGCTGTCACCGTCAATAAACAGTGACACATCATCGGCACTGTTGGCCTTCGGTGATCACTTATTGGCTAACCAATGGGTTGAAGCTGCACATGTCTGGTATGTCGAAAGCTTTGATGGTCGCGGCTATTTTGACGTGGCATTCCAGTTACCTACTTTCCTCACAGACACCGCCAGCTGGTAGCACCGTTCTTCCCCCGATAGGCGGCATTGGACACCCTACGGCAAGGCTCATACTCGCAGGTTCGCGCAGTCCCCAGGCGTGGCCGAATTTCCATAAAGATCCCGACCCCGTAATATTTTCCGAGATTATCGAGTTTGCGCTATCTTTGGCTACGCCGAACAAAGGCCAAGAACCTTTTGGGGGCTTACCTCACCTTCAAGCGTACCGTTTTATCAGAGCGGCCACTTTGGCTGAATTTGGTTATGTGCAACTTGCTAACAGGTAGAGTCCCCCCTTTTTGACATGGCCGGTTTGCCGATCTTCTTTTCATTAGGTATTGCGAAGCCATTTTGGCTAGCGTGTCACGACCTTCGCCATACTTCAATGAAACGCTCATAGAACAGCTGAAGGGATTATCTGATCGCATCGCCGGTGTCTCGCTTGTGGACAAAAGTGGCTCGTGGATGAGTGGAAAACTGAGTAAACCAAGTCTGGACACGATAGGCGGATGGCTAGAAGGGCGCTTCACGAAACTTGTCACTGGCGATGCCGAGGCCACAGCGGCTACCGAAGAAGACCCGTCGAAAATTGACGACCGTAGCGGTAATATGGGGCCATTCTCACAATATAGCTCCATCTCGTCTGCGGCTCCGTCCGCGGATCCGTCTCCCCATTCTTCCGTGGTCAATCTTCCCATTACTCCAGGCCGCACTGGATCTGCAATGTCGACTCATGGATATCGGCCACCAGACCGGGCCGCTTCAGCCATGGACACAATTCGCCGAAAGCAATCACCCCCTATGCCACGCATATCGTCTGCTTCCGCAACAACGACAGTGTTCGCGCCGTCCCATTCATTCGGGCAAGTGCTCTCAGATTATAAGCCTTTGGGTACTATGAACGAGGCCGATATTGCAACACCTAAACCGTCGTTTGATGAGACTGATGATGATCCGAATACGCAAGAGGTCACTTGGTGGGGAGATGGTTTGTCTTCACGAACACCAACTGCGACGAACTTTGTGAAAGTGAACGATGCTGCTGTGACGTCGGCGGATGGCTTTATATCCCTCATGGACAACACCGCATTTGCACTTGCTCCCCCGCCAGCAACAGCTTCGCGTCCGTCTCATAATGTTCCCAACGAGGAGGATGAAGAGGAAGATCTAGGGTTTGGGAACTCCAAGCCTAAGGATCAACCTTTCGACGACAAACACACCGAATCTGAGGAGAAGAAAGAACATAAGACTGCTACTCCTGAACGACCTGGCATGTTTGTTTGTGGTTCACTGTTGTTGGAGTACTAATATTATTACAGAGCCTAAACCAGTTGCAAATTCAAGCGGCAGTAGTAGCGGATCCTGGTTCGGTAGATGGTGGAAACGAGGCGAATCTTCTGGACCTGTCAAAGCCAGTCTAGGGGAAGAAACATCATTTTACTACGATAAGGAACTAAAACGATGGGTCAACAAAAAGGTTAGTGATCTCGCTTTTCTTTGGAGCTTTTCTCATCCTGTTATACATAGGCTGGAGCCGATGTAGCTGCTAAACCTGCCCCACTACCTCCTCCGCCATCAAGGCCGGCGACGACATCCCCAGGCACGTCGTCTCCGACCTATTCGATGAATGGACAACCGCCCGTTCGGCCGGCTTCTGCTGCCGAATCCTCAACGGCACCACCAAATCGACGGGCAATTCCACGCGTTCGTTCGAACTTGGTACCTACTCCCGAGGTGGAACCTGGACCTCCTACACCTCCTAGTGCTCGACTTGGTCCGCCGCCACCGTCTCCTATGCCAGGACGACCCAAGTCGCAAGGCTCTAAGCGGCCTATTCGTAACCGCTACGTAGATGTGTTTTCCCAAGGCGCTACCCCAACATAGGATGGTTGAGCCCATAGACTAAAGTCATTATTTTATTTAGAATTTTACCTAACATATCGTTTGGAACAAACTGTATTCCTACCGGAAAACACGGGGAGCACTTCAAGAGTTATGTTTTTAGTGTACCGAGGTGGGAGTCAAGCCTTTCCTTCTGGTTACTTGAAAAGCAAAAAGGGACTGCTTGTGCCGAGATTCGATCACGTCTGATGGCCTCAATGATCTTCATTCGATATATCTCCAGGGAAGGAAGCTACCTGACATCCAGGACCCTTCGCAGAGTACCGAGCGTGCAGCAAAAATATCGACTGCCATGTGTGCTGGGACCGGCATACAAGAACTAGTACCTGTGTATTAAATTAAATTAAATTTTTAAAGCGGAGTCAATAAATATTCCCAAAAAGGTTGCCCCCACCCAGGATCGAACTGGAGACCCTTGCATAACATTTATCCTCATAAGTACAATGCTCTACCACTGAGCTATGCGGGCAACGATTGTAGATGTTATTTTACAAAATATATATTAACAATTAAGATGAATTTGTGAAACCAGAAATTACGTCATGAGTTGCTCGATCTGTGCGATAACTGTCATGGGTTATGTTGCATTCTGGTGGGCTAGAAGCCTTATAAGTAACTAGCTGTTCCGTCCGCCTATCCGATCTGCATTTTTACAACTGTCCAGCAGACATTTTGAAACTAGTAGACGACTGGCATTAGCTTATTAGAAAGAGTCCAGAAGCAATGTATGGACGAATACAGGTCGCTGCTTGCTGCTATTCGTCGCTTTTCCGTCGAAAAAATGCTAGCCATTTTTATGGATGCCTATTCCATCCCCGCTTAATTTTTGGAACACAATTCTTCTCTTTCTTCCCTCCCTGACCTTGTTGAAATTTCACTGTGCCAGCGGCTGGTTAGCACATTGGACGATTGCCACTCTGGATAAAAGCTGATACAAGGAAAGTGGTAAGCACCGTCAACCTTTTGAATCATGCAGCTATTCCTTTGTTTCTTCGGGAGATAATGAACTTCCGAGACGATGCATTAGTCAGGGTATTGCTGTTCTGGGAGATACCGCAGAGCTTAATTCGATGTTGAGTCGATGGAGCTGCTGCTTGGCCCGACGTGGCCACGACCAATATGCCACATTTGCATGCTGGACGTAGTTGACTGTGTCGTGTGCAGGCTACATAACCGGTGCAGAAGGCCTTACAGCAATCGGTGAACTTGTAGCCAAGCTGAAGAAACACGATCTAGAACTCGTATATCTCATACAATTTTCTGTCTCATCACAAATCCCCGGTCGCAATTGAGGAACTCGGACCGTTTACATCTCGCCCCGGACATGACCGGTCTATCAGAACATGCTCTCCCTCTCGTCGGACTTTTGCCAAGAATCCACGTAAGGCCCCGACTATTCCGGACAATGACTACGGCATCTCCAACGCCATTATCAATGTCCTCGTCCTGGTCAGTCACCCAGGAACAGCCCACCGTGACCATTCACTCCGGATAGGCCTATGGGACACCCAGAACAAATCTAAAGTGCGTGCAAGTTTCCTTCAACTGCCTGCTCTCCTTCATAAGTTTGCAAACACGCTGGCTTCTGACAATCCCATGTACAACTCACGGTTGCAGCGCCTCGACGACTCTATCCCAAGGTAAGTAGTAACTGACGTCCACGGATGCCAAATAGAATAAGTTCCAATACTATGAGTTTTGTAAACTAGTCTTCAGAAAACGGACCTTCTATTTACTTTAATTAATCTCCTCTGCCAAGCTTATCTAGCGAGCGTATACCCTGCTCGAACCATTCTTCGCGCGTTATCCAGAACTCTTCTCGGCCTTTCATGATATCTGCTAGGACAGCACCACCAAGGAAGACCATGTGCTTCCTCCGGGGAGGGTCTTCAATCTTGATTTTGAATTTCTGTAGCGCAAAGGACCATCAGCATTGCGGAGAGTCATGCGATGAATACGCACATTCAACCGCGAAGGATCACCCTTGAGCACCTCGACAAGATAGAGCTGCTTCATCTCTTTCTCTAGTCGGCTGGGAAGTCCTGGATACATACTTGATCCACCAGAAAGAACGATGTGCTTATAGAGCTCTGAGCGGACATCGACAGCGGCGGCCTGGATGGTTTGGAAGAGCATTTCTACATAGAGAATGTTAGCAAATGAATGTAGAAGTGATATAGACTATTACCTGCGACACCAGGCTGTTCCACGTCAATGAGATGGGGTTGGAACATGCATTCCGGAGCTTCGAAACGTTCCTCTGCAACTTTAATTGTCCGTCCATCAGGGAGCTATTTGCTTTATTAGTTTGGAGCTATACATGTTGAGGAACCTGACCTGATAGCTTTCGACTAACACCGTGGTCTCCTCCGAAAGCCGTGTATCAAGCTCCAAGTCGTAGCTAGATGAAAAGTCATCAACGGTGAGCTTTCATGAGGGGAGAAGAACTCACCTAACGTAGCAGAGTTTCTCCTTGATCGCTCGCACCGTCTCAAAGTCTGCTGTTCGATTCAATGCATATCCTCGCCTCAGCAACAGCTTAATCAGATATTTGGTTACATCGCGTCCTGCGATATCAAGACGTCGTGTCAGATGAGGCATCGCAAATCCGTCGTATACTGGAACAATATGAGTCACGCCGTCGCCAGAGTCCACAACGACGCCCGTTGTCAAACCTTTCAAACGGTGAGCACAGTCAGAAATGACGAAAAAGCAACGCACCCTGAGCATACAACGTCAACACGGCCTGGATGGCGACATAAACCCCCTCAAATCCGTATTCCTCAAACATGACTTGGCACATCCTCTGCCTGTTCACCTTCGGATTCATCGGGGGCTCCGTCAGCAGCACCTTTCGGCCTCTCGGATTCACTCTGAGCTTCTCATCAAAGGTGTAGTCCCACAAATGCTTCATATCCTCCCAGTTGCGTATGATTCCATGCTCCATCGGCTGTGTTATCTGGAGGTAGTTTCGGTTCTCTGCTGCTTCGTCGCCGACCATGATATCTTTAATGGTCGCATTGCCAACTTTTTCCTCAGCCCGGAGAATGGGGCGGCCGACAATTGAGGGAAATACTGAAGCATTGTGAAGACGATGAGAGGTCGTATAAACGAGCTTGAGGCGTACCATGCTCAGGAAAGTTGGAGCCTGCGTACCCGACTTTGACGAACTGAACCACATGAGTATATAAATTCGAAGGAACAATTGATAGACGTACACCGGTGCCGTTGTCGACGACGAGAGGTGGCCCAGGATCCATTATCGGTAGGTAGGGGAAGAGATGAAGGCAGCTTGTTTGGCGGGATTTGTCTAGCGTTTCTATTGACGAAGGTGATGATGTCATTGACCCTACTTTGCTCAGTGATGCTTCTAGGCAGTATTCAGCGTTTTGCTACTCGACGTCTGTACTCGTCAAATTCAGCGCACAACATAGAGGCACTGGATAATTGGATTGCCTCCCAAAAACAGTACATTTTGAACGATACCCTCCATCCAGAGCATTTATCTGATCTCTACGTAACTCTTCCTACTCGTGATGGAACACGCAAACCGTTTCATGCTCCTGAACCGTCAACACCTATGGGCTGCGGTCACCATACAATATTCTTCTACCCTCGTGTTCCCGAGCCCTTCTTACGTAGAGATGGTACAGATATAGACTTCTGTCCACCAGAACCCTTTACTCGCAGGATGTGGGCGGGCGGAAAGATATCGTGGATGGCGGGGAACCCTCTGATAATCGGTGGCAAGGCGACCGCAAGAATGACAATAGGTTCCGTCGAGAAGAAGAATTTTGATCGTGGACGTCCTATCGTATTCGTGAACAAGAAAATTGAGATCTCCATGAAGGATTCGGCTGTTCCCTCCGTAGCTGAGGAGAGGGTACATGTCTATTTGCCCGTTGCTGCTACAGTTAAGAAGGAGCCCCGTCAAGGTAGGCATAGCTGTTTTCAGAGTTAATAATCTTCTCTAATACATGGAGTCCAGTTCCTGGGATACCAGATTCGTCTGATTTCTCATTCACATACAAGCCGACGCTGACGACTTTGTTTCGATTTTCTGCGCTCACCTTCAACGCGCACCATATCCATCTGGACAAGGATTATGCACGCGACTTTGAAGGATATTCAGGCCAGTTTGATATGGTACTTATGCGTCCTCGGTTCTGACTCATCTATAGAACGTCTGGTTCACGGACCTCTTACTGCCCTCATGATGCTTGAAACAGCCAATGAGCAAAACCCAGGTGTCGAGGTCAAGACATTCGAATACCGGGCCACGAATCCTCTTATCGTCAACCAGCAACATACAATCTTTGGACAGTGGACGGGCGACAAGGCCTTTTTGTGGTGCCAGGACGAAAATGGAGTGGTCGGCATGACGGGGACAGTTATTTTTTGTTGATTATAGCGGATGACTCATGCTGGGAAGACAGTGAACAGTTTGTAGAAACAACGGCAAAATTATACAAAATACGTTTATGTTTCATGTACCATCTTCTATCTGATCCTAGAGCCATTCATACTGTTTACAGTATCCCTACACTGGTATTTGTGTAATATTTCTTTTCTTTGACCGATGATACCAATTTGCCGTCGTCTTCCCTGAGTGCTCCACGTCTAACACGTCGCGACGAATGAGTGCTTGGGCAAACTGCAACGTGATTATCATTTCTGCTGCAGAAAAACAACGAATTATAGATAGTTCTTCTTTTCTAAGAATGCATACATACTTCTAGAATGTAGTCAGGGAGACAGTTGAGTCTGACTGAGGAGAATCATAGCTCCTCGTGTAGCCCCTGTTTAGACGCGTTGTGGCACGTGATGCATATTGAAACTCCGCGCGTTATTTATATTGGATTGTCTGTTTGTTGCCGTCGAACTGCCCTTGACCAGAACCACCACCTTCTCAAGTTGTCACCACCATCTTACCCATTCTTGACCGTAATGGCACCCAAGGTATGCCATGCATAACTTATTGCTTGTATTATTTGTCTGATGTACTTATAGCCTGCCTCAACTGCTTCCAAAGCTCCGGCTTCAACTGCCGGCAAGGCGCCAGCCAAGACAGACTCCAAGGCTGCGAAGAAGACTGCCAGCAAGAGCAAGGCTGCGGCACCTGCTGACGGCGAGAAGAAGAAGCGTAAGAAGTCGAGAAAGGAGACTTACAGCTCGTACATCTACAAGGGTACGCGTCGGTTGGCTTATCTTGGATCTTACCTTGACGCGTCATTTATTCGTACAGTGCTGAAGCAGGTTCATCCCGACACTGGTATCTCCAACAAGGCGATGGCTATCCTCAACTCCTTCGTCAACGACATCTTTGAACGTGTTGCTACTGAAGCTTCTAGTGCGTTGTAATACTTCTTTGCTGTCACAAACCCAGCCTAACTTCTTAATGACAGAGCTCGCTGCCTATTCTAAGAAATCAACCATCTCCTCTCGCGAAATCCAGACCAGCGTTCGTCT